TTGAATTTGGTTCACTAATATTTTATTGAGAACTTTTGCACTTATATTCATCAGGATATTGGTCTATAGTTTTCTTTTCTTGTGGTCTCCATATCTAGTTTTGGTATCAAGTTTTGATATTTTGGTATCGAGTTTTGGCCTCATAGAATGAGTTTGAAAGTGTTCCCTCTTCCTTGATATTTTGGAAGAGTCTGAGGAGGATTGGTGTTAATTCTTCTATAAACATCTGGTAGAGTTGTCCAGTGAAGCTGTCTGGTCCTAGAGTTTTCTGTGTTGGGAGTTTTTTGATTAATGATTCAATCTCTTTACTCATTTTTGGTCTGGTCAGATTCTCTATTCCTGACTCAGTCTTAGTAGGTGATGTGTTTCTAGAAATGTATCCATTTCTTCTAGGTCATGTAATTTGTTAGCATATAAATGTTCATAGTAGTCTCTTATGATTCTGTGTATTTCTGTAGCATTAGTTGTAATGTCTCCTCTTTCATTTTTAACTTTATTTATTTGAGTCTTCTCTCTTTTCTTCCTAGTTAGTCTGGCTAAATGTTTGCCAATTTTGTTTATCTTTTTGAACTAGTGCTTAGTTTCATTGATCCTTTCTATTGTTTTTCTGGTCTCTATTTCATTTATTTCCACTCTGATCTCTATTATTTCCTTCCTTCTGCTAACTTTGGGCAGTTCCCTGTAGTGTAAAGTTATGTTGTTTATTTGAGATCCTTCTAATTTCTTAATATATGCATTTATTGTTAAACTTTCCTTTCAGAACTGCTTTTGCTACATCCCATAGTATTTGATATGGTGTATTTTCATTTTCACTTGTTTTGGGCTAACTTGTTCTTTCTCTTTTGATTTCTTCTACAATCCAATGGTTGTTTAGAAGTGTGTTGTTTAGTTTCCACATATTTGTAAATCTTCTCACTTTCCTCTTGCTATTGATTTCTAGTTTCATACCATTGTGGTCAGAGAAGTAGTTGATATGATTTCAATATACTTAAATTTGCTAATACTTATTTTGTGGCCTATCATATGATCTATTATGGAGAATGTTCCATATGCACTTGAGAAGAACACGTATTCTGCTGCTGTTAGATGGAACCTTCTGTACATGTCTGTTAAGTCCATTTGTTTTGAAGTGTGGTTCAATTCCAATGTTTCTTTGTTGATTTTCTATCTGGACAATCTATCCATTGCTGATAGTGGGGTACTGAAGTCTCCTACAGTTATTGTATTGTTGTCTATTTTTCCCTTAAGATCTCTTATTAATTGCTTAATATGTTTCGGTGCTTGGGTGTTGGGAGCATATATATTTACAATTGTTAATACTTCTTGATGTATTAACCCTTTATCATTATATAATAACCTTCTTTGTCTCTTGTTACCCTTTTTTGGCTTGAAGTCTATTTTGTCTGATATAAATATGGTTATGCTCACCTTCTTTTCATTTCCATTTGCTTGGAATATTATCTTCCATCTTTTTACTTTGAGCCTACATGTGTGTTTAGAGCTGAAATGAGTCTCCTGCAGGCAGCATATAGTTGGGTCTTGTTTTTTTTAATCCAGCCAGTGACTCTATGCCTTTTGATTGGTGAGTTCAATCTATTTACATTTAGGGTGATTACTGATATATAAGAATTTACTACTGCCATTTTATCTTTTGCCTTCCAGTTATTTTATATTTCCATTGCTTTTTTTCCCCTTCCATTTCGGACTACAATTGTAAGTTGGTTTTCTATGATGATTTGCTCAGTCTTTCCTTTTTTTATATTTCATGTCTGTGCTCTAGATTTTTGCTTTGTGGTTACCATGAGGTTTACATATAATCTCTCATAGATAAAATAGTCCTTTTTCTGCTGATAGCAATTTATCTTCATTTGCCTATAAAGGTTCTATCCTTTTATTCTTCCTGTTTTCTATTTTTTGCTGTCACAAATTCTCTCTTTTTATGCTGTGATTTCATTACCAAGTTGTACTAGCTACAGTTATTTTTAATGCTCTTTTTCTTTAACTTTTATGCTATAGTTAAGAGTTAATATACTATTCTAGAAAAGAGTTACAGTATTCTAATTCTGGCTGACTATTTATCACCTTAATGAGAGTTTTGTGTATTTCTGTTATTTTGTTTCAGTTTGAAGAGCTCCTTCCACCATTTTTGTAAGGCAGGTCTAGTGGCAGAGAACTCCCTTAGCTTTTATTTGTCTGGGAAATCCTTTATTTCTCCTTCATATCTGAAGGATAACTTTGCCATACAGAGTATTCTTGGCTGTTGGCCTACATTTTCATTGATCCTTCACATATTTACTGATTTCCTTTTGAAAGATGTATTTCACATGACTGAAGAAATAATGAACAAGCCCAAACTGAGACCTAAATAAATAAGTAAATTGCTTAAAGAAATAGAGCTTGATTGCTAAATCAGGAAGAAATGAAATAAGGCTTCTGATTTTTTTACTGCATAATTTATTTAGCCACACATCATTGTTTCACTTACTTCTTCCCTCTTTGAAAAGTAGAAGTCACTTTCTCTAAATGATGGAGTATATAGTTTTTTAATAATTTTTTAATTTATTTTTATTTATTTATTTTTTTAAATGATGGAGTATATAATTTTTTAAATAATTTTTAATTTATTTTAATTAATTAATTTATTTATTAAGATTATGGTAGTTAACAACCTTGTCAAATTACAGTTGTACATCATTATTAGTCATGTTGTAGGTACACCACTTCACCCCTAGTGCCCTCCCCCCACTCCCCTTTCCCCTGGTAACCACTGATCAGTTCTCTTTGTCTATATGTTAACTACCACCTATGAGTGGAGTCATACAGAGTTCGTCTTTCTCTGTCTGGCTTATTTCACTCAACATAATACCCTCAAGTTCTATCCATGTTGTTGTGAATGGGACGACTTTGTCCTTTTTTATGGCTGAGTAGTATTCCATTGTATATATTGGAGTATATGGTTTTTTACATGTTACCAACCATTTCTAATTTGGGAGGATGTGGATTTTTTTCTCTTTTATTTGAAGTTTAGCAGTATGTAGACTAAAATTTAAGTTTGTAGGATATTAACACACTGATATTTGATAATATCTATTTGTTTATTCAAGTTGAATTTACTCCTAAAAAATTTCCCCAGGATGAGTGAAGACAAGTAACCAGTCTGACTTTTAAAAAATTTTTCATTCATATGATTGAGAAGAATTTAATTATAACTTGGATGTTTGGACTATTTCTTATGTCTCTGATGACTTTTCATTTTGAGTGCTAAAGGCACTGACAGGTTTGAAATATCATAATTATGATAAAAGAACTGCCCTTTGAATAATAGGTGAAAAAGTAGATGAATAACCAAATGTAAAATTTCAGGTGCATTTCTTGTTCTTTAATGTCCTTTTCATTTTCTCTAACTTTTATATTTCCAAGATACTTTAGATCCTCCATATTAATTCCTTACCCCCTGGTCATGAAGGATCTTAATTCTGTTTGTGGGACTTCATGAAATGAAGGTTTCGTCAATCCTAAGAAATCATCACCCCATCCTAACATGTAAGTCCATAAACTTGACCTTTCTCCTTTTGAATAAGAGCAAAATCAGGTAAAACCTATCTGTTATGTTTCAATATCATCCCAAAGAGGAGCTGAAGTCTAAAGCTGAATCTAAAACCAAACAAACAATAAATGGGAGAAACATAAAAAGAAGGGATAGAAAAGATGTGAATGTGTGAAAAACTCCATGAATGTTCAAAGGATACACAATATTTTAAAGTAAAAGTGTTTTGTTTTGTTTTTTGCCAAGGAGTTTGCCCTGAACTAACATCCACTGCCAATCTTCCTCTTTTTGTGTGTGAGCCACCAGCACAGCATGGCCACTGACAAGTTGTGTAGGTCCACGCCCAGGAACCGAACCCAGGACACCAAAGCAGAGCATGCTGAACTTAACCACTAGGCAACTGGGTCTGGCTGTAAAAGCGTTTTAATAATGTGCATCTTGCAGCTTAAAATGCTTTTTGACGGTCATCAGGAGTAATCACTTTCTGGGAGAAACTCACCTTTTGCAATACAAGGGTCATTTGCATAAAGAAGTTGCATATTATGCATATGTGAGGTTAGCAATATGAAAAATATTCAAGCAATATAGGGCATACGTAATCATTTAAACCTCAGTAAATGGTTATTTTGAAATTATAATTTCCAAATTAAAAAGGTCTCAGGTTGTACTCCCAGAAATGTGCACTTTGAAAACTTTCTGAATTAAATGGATTATTCAAAATCTTTACAAGCACCCAAATCTCTGTATTCCCAGCAAGAAAGCAAAAGTGAGAAATACCCAGGATCTGGCCATGCATTTGCATATACAATGATTGAGGAGCATACATTCTGCCCCTAAATTTATTTCAAGTATTTCCACACTTAAACACTGATGAATCATTGAAAAACTCTCCATTTTTAAGATGCTCTCCCTCAAGCAGAGGAATGGACTGACTGAGAACATATACATTTTAAGTTTCTTTCTCCTTTAAGTTGAAAAGATATGATAAAAATTTAGCATTAATGAAGCCCGACATTAATACAACAAAGTGATGCCACCTTTAAGGAAAATCTTGCCAGACCTACTCAGTTTCAGAATGTCCACCAAGTACATCTCAACAATAATTTTCAAAAAATATTTTTTCAAACAATTTTAACTTATTTTTCAAATAATTTTCAAGTTGAAAACAACCCAATGTTCATTCTAAAGTTGCACTCATGCCTATAATGTAAACTACTGAGGTGCTTCTGTAGGGTACCTAGCCCCCACTCAGTGAGACCCTGAGTCCTTAAAAGGGACTAGGGGAGGAGATGCCTCATGGGTAAGCGGCAACTGCACTCCAAACAGATTTGAAGGGCGTGAGACCCAACACGACCTGGCAGCATCTCAGTGTCCAGGCTGGTTCTCCTGTGGCCCCCAGCTTAGCGCCTGGCCCTGCAGATGGGTTCTAGGCTGGGGCTGTGCACTCACTCACCTTTTGGTGCTCGTGCTGGAAATGGGCAGGTAGTCCATGACCGCGATGTACACGTACTGCTTGGCGTCATCTATCACGCTGTAGATGGCGTCTATGTCAAAGCTTCTGTTTTTAGGGCAAAAGAGTTTGGGAGAATTCTGTGAAGACACAAAAACCAAGCTTTTAGAGTATTAATTTTTGTCATCTGGGGATTTCTCTTTTTTGTTGGTTTTTTAATCTGTTTTCATGGATCTTGGCTTTTAACTAAATTTTTACAAACCTACTTTCCAGTTCTTTATGAGATTAGACAAATATACGTTCAATCCTATCTAAGTTGAGGCATGTAGAAATCAAAGTGTGGTGGGATGGGTCTCAAGTCAGTCCTCTAAGTCTGTTTTGGGAGGGAATTCTGGCTTTCAGTACACACACCTCCGATTTCCCAAGAAGTCCTCCAGCTTTGAACTTACGCGACACTGGCGTCCATTCCTGTCAGGCACAGCTGTTAAGTTTCTTAGGCATTACCATATAATACATACATATACACATGGCAAGCAATTGACCCCAGAAGTCATTCCATTTGAAAGGTGATGTGGGTATGAAAATGTTCAAGACACACGATGTAAAAATCTCATTTTTTCCCATGGAATCCTTCATCCAGTCAAGAAGAGGAGTGTTGATTGTTGAGAAAGGGTCATCAATAATTCTAGAGGAAAAGCCAAGTGAGTTATTAAGATGCCCGAATTCATCAGGAGAGACAGAGAAGAAGGATATTCTGAGAGACTGAAGCAAAATGAGAAAACAGGCAAATTATACTTGAGGTATTTTTCTCACGTTGCTCAAAGTGGTTTCCATGTCATAAAGACACAGCGTTTTTAGATGAAGTTGCTATAGAAGGGGAAAGATGTATTTTGGTTTTCTCATTGTTTTTCTCCTGGACAGGACTGAAAACAGTGTTGCCTTGGTTCCTGTCTTACTCTGACTAGCAAGTGGAGGAGCACAAAAAGTGCAAGGGGTGCTTAATACCAAAAAGCTGAATAAACAGTTTCTGAAACTGCCTGGAATGGAAGTATTGGGTCCCTCACCAAATGCTCCACCAGTACTGGCATCAAGGTCCCTGGTCAAACGTTCGGGAACAACTACCCACCCTCTGCTGGAGGGAATGCCCATCCCAGCGTAGATGGAGGGAAGATGGAGCTGTTGGACTGGACGCCCAACCCTGAAGGAGTGCGGGGGTGAGGAAGGAGCCGGGGGTGAGGGAGGAGTGTGGGGTGAGAAAGGAGAGGGTCCGGGGAGGCAGCTCTCAGAAAGTTGTCTTGGCAGGTGAGCATCAGAATGAGTTTTTGATCATTTAAATTATTTTTCTTTTGGAATGAAGATGAGCTCCCAAGTCTTCTAAAAAAAAACTAATGCAACAAAACAAAAATAACAAAAAAATCAAACAAAGGAACAAAACCTTCTGCTAGTCTTACCCTCTTACCCTCATTGCCCAGCACACACATTCACAGATGCTCCATCTGTCAGCAGACAGAGCTCCTGCAGTCCGCCCCCCCCTCCCCACTCCCTCTCCCAGGCACCAGTGCTGTTTGCTGGGGCTTCTACATCTCTACCTAACTCATTTCCTCGTCTCCATGATGTTTAACAAACAAACGAACACGCACATGTCACTCTCGGGACCCTTGGTCTCGGAGTCCAGTCTGATCCCCCTGGGAGGATGGATCCACGGCTCTCGGTGACCCGTCTCCCCCTTTCTCTGCCCCTCTCTTTTGTAGCTCCCATACCCTCTGTGCCCCAAATGGAAATCATCACCAGCCCATGGCCCTGCTCTCATCTGCCTGCCTCTGCTCCCAGCAGCCCCTCCGCCAATGTGTGTCCCTATCTGCCTATCAGAGTCCTAGGCGTTTTCCAAGTTCCAGGTCAAGCACTGTCTTCTCCATGAAACTTTTTTATACGCCCACCCAGAGGCTACTTCTCCCTCCCCTGTCCTCCCCTAAGAGGATTTATTGTTGTATTATTTAGCATATTCAAAACTACAATTATACTTACACCTGCCTCATCTTCTGGCCTAGACTGTCATTAGCCTGATTTTAAGGGTCGTATTTTACTTACTTTTCTATCTCCGTTGAATTAAATATTCAAGTTATTTAATTCTTTGAGCCTGTTGGGTCTGCTTTAAATGTTCTTCGTGGAGAAGCTTAGGATCTCAGCTCTAGACGGGAGCCTAGGCCAACTCTGAAATGTGTCCAATTGCCCACATTTTTGTTTCAGTCAGAAATTTCCTGAATTTCCTTGCATGTTCCCAACACTGGATGCTGGTTTTGGGGAGGAACCGGTTTAGGCAGAGAGTCACTGGTCTCTTTCCATTTGCTGTTATCTGACGAGTTTGGAAATAGGGCCTTTGGTGACATAGGCCACGTTCTGGCATTTATAACCTGCTGTGTGTTGGGTGAGCCCCTTACGTCTTCTGAGCCTGGCTTCCTAATGGGGAGATAACAACAACGTGCCTTCCACACTAGTTTGCCCTGAGGCTTAAAGAAGAGAATGGCCAGTTCTTCTGTGCTTGCTTTCATTCATTCTGCAAATATTACTGCCAGGCTCCTAGCTCAAGTGTAGGCACTGGCACACATAGTGATCAAAATAAGATTCCTGCTTCGTGGAGCTTCACTCTACCACACGTTACATTGCATTGTGTTCATCTGTCTGTGTACTTCTCCACCAGCTTGTGAACTGCTTGGTTCTTTATCTCTGTACCTTGCGCCATGCCATGCTTAGCACATATTATATACTCAATAAATATTTGTGGAAGGAATGTGAAAGTGCTTCTCAAATGAATAAGTGTGGACAGTTTGTGTGACCTCCAACCTGCACTCCTAGCTGGAGTGGCTTCACGCTGGGCATGTCCATCCATATGTCAACAGATCCTTATCTGCAGTTGCCTTATTGTTTTTGCCTATGTCTCCATTGCCTGAGCCAGTGCCTAGAGCCTGGCAGGTGCTCTTGTGTTTATTATGGAGATGCATGGCCATTTGTATTAGTCCCCCTTTCCCTGGGCGCAAGGTGGTACTTGACTATGGGTCCCAGAGTCCTCTATCTTTGAAAATAGTGTCTGGATATACTAGTGGCTTAAAAATGTTTGCTCAAGGTATAAATAAACCACAACACAAAAATGATCTAGTGATCTGGCAGAGGAAGTTAACTAGTTCCCATTGTTTAATTAGAGAGAAGGTTGCTAAATTCCCCTCTTGTCACTCCTGAATCAATTTTCTGAGCCTTGCGCTGCACACTCCTGTATTGCATAGTAAAGGAGAAGGGGTGGAATGTGCAGATCCGCTTCTTTGTTCCAGCTCTGTGATGATCTTTCACCAGTCAGTCAGTGCTCTGGAGGCACCATGCTTCTGGGTAATCTCTGTTGCTCTCTTAGATCAAGAAGTGCCTATTTATACACGCATGTCACTTGTTCTGCACATTCATTAAATATTTGCCTTCACAGGCTTCTGATTTATTTCATAATAGTTTCCTGATTTTAAAAGGTCTATACTCCATTCCCAGAATAGATATGTTAAAGTATAATTAAATATGAAAAGACAACCCACAGAATGGGCGGAAATATTTGCAAATCATATATCTGATAAAGGTACTTGTATCCAGAACTTATAAAGAACTCTTACAACTCAATAATAAAAAACTCAAGTAATCTAATTGAAAAATGGGCACAGGATTTGAAAGACAGCTCTCTAAAAAGATATACAAATAGCCAATAAGCATATTAAAATATGCAAATCAAAACCACATTTCACACCCACTAGAAGTATGCTAAAATGAAACAGAAAATAACGAGCATTAGCAGAGAAATTGAAACCCTCATTTATTGCTAGTGGAATTGCAAAATGGTGCAGCCAATTTGGAAAACCGTTTGTCAGTGTCTCAAAATGTTCCACATAGAGTTACCACATTACCCAACAATTCCACTCCTAAGTATAAACCCCAAAGAATTGAAAACAGGTATTCAAATAAAAACCTGTACACGACTGTTCATAGCAGCACTATTCACAATAGCCAAAAAGTAGAAACAACCAATGCCCATCAGCTGATGGATGGATAAACAAAAGGTGGCACATCCATACAATGGAATATTATTTGGCCATAAAAAGGAATGAAGTCTGATTCATGCCACAACATTAATGAACTTGGAAAACATCATACTAAGTAAGAGAAGTCAGTTACAAAATACTACACACTGTATTACTCCATTTATATGAAATGTCTAGAAAAAGGCAAATCCCTAGAACCAGAAAGTAGATTAGTGGTTGTCAGGGGCTGAGGGAGGGGAAATGGGGAGTGACTGCTAATGGGGATGGCGTTTTTCCTTGTGGTGATGACAATATTCTAAAATTACAAGGTGGAGATGATTGCAAAATTCTATGACTGTACTAAAATCCACTGAATTGTACACTTTAAAAAGATGAATTTTATGGTATGTAAGTTATATCGCCATAAAGCTGTTAAAAATGCAATTAACAATACATAGTGGAGGTATTATAATATGCAATAAATGCATATATAATGCATTTGCAAAATGCATAAATGCATATATAATGCAATATAATTGCAAATATGCAAAAAATGCAATATAACAATACATAGTGGGGAATATAATATGGTTATTTTTCACAGCAGCACCAAGTTCTAGTTAATGTCTGCTCTCACTCACTAAACCTATGTGAGTATCCACAGCAGACGGATAAATGAACTAAACAATAAACAACAAGAAGCGAGACCTATCTAGCACCCAGATCAGTAAAAACAGACCTTGAACTAACTCGTCTATATCTTGGAAAGCAAATGCATAATCTCAAGGGCTCTAAAAAGAAGTTTACAAGATAGGACAAAAACCTCAGCCAACTATTATTCCCATTGTCTGATTTCAATGGGAAATGTAAGAAAATTGGAATCATCTGGCCCCAGTGTACTACAAAGCACATCGTTAAATCTAGCCAACCACCTCTGTGTTCCATAAGAAAATTATAAATAACCCATAGTTATATCATAACTTAAAATTTGTATTTAACCATGCTAAGTTGTGAATCATCTCAAATCCAGTTTTGGGAATGGCAATTCTTAAGGTCTTCAAATATAATTTTGCGGGTACATTAATTTAGTTTTGGGACTGTCAGCTTACAAAAATATAATATACTATTTTAAGATATTTTACAACAAATATTTTGGACTTAAATAACTTTGTCTTGGTATTTGGTTGGCATGTACTACTCATAAAACTGTGTGTACTTAGAACTTTTTATTAATATTACTACTAATAAATTCAATCCAAATTTATTTCTGCTTTTAGGGAGCCCTAAGGGAGGTGCTGGGAAAACCAACATGAAGAGAGTACAGTATATGACCTCAGAGCCTTGAAAAATAGATGATCAATAAAGTAGTAGTTATAAAAATGTGACAGAGGCTATGATAGAATTGAGATCAATGAACTCTAGGCAAATGATACCAATTCCAACAGTGGGGTTTTCTGACTTTATTTTATAACTATAAGATTTCATATACACCTCTGCAAAACTGATGTTTAATTAATATCTGTTAAAATGAAATTCAAAGGTAGGCTTCTTACTAATTAGGAACTAGAAAATAAAATAATAAATAAAAATAGAAAATAAAGGCATTACGTAGTTTAAAAGACTATACCTGACAGAATGTTTCAAAACTCAACTTATTTTGTGGCAAAATGTTGAATAAAAAGCAATTTGTAAATGTGCCCTAGAATATGACAAAGGCTTTGCATTTTGGTGGATTTCATTAAAGGCCTGGGCCCTCTCTCGAATCAACAAACTTTGGGATCAACAAATGAGGACTCCCTCACCTGTTTAAGGGTCGGAATTTAAATTTATGCAACAACCACATTCACTTATCTCCGAGATTCAAATCGTAAATTTGAAATCCAGCAATTATCTGAAATTTGCTCATAATTCATCTATTTCTCGCTGCTTCCCATCTGTTCTACGGAACCTGGAGGAGCGAGTGTCCCTTTGGGTGTCATGTCACCCTGTTTTAAGGTGGATTAAGGGTTCCTTGGCAAATTTCCTATTGCTACCCATCTACAAATTGAGAACAATATCTGGCCTTCTTGTCTTACAAGGTTGTCTTGAGAGGAAACGACAGTGAACATATGAAGTAATTTTGTTAGTAAGATGCCCTATGCAAATGCCACTTGCTACTGCGTTACTGGCATCTACACAGACAAAAAAAGGGTTTAGCTCTATTTGATGAAAATCTTTCACAGTCTATTTTCTGCTGTTCACATTTATGTGAATTTGCTATTTAAGACAAACAACTTCAACTTCCTCTTTTCTCTCTATTGCTACATTCTAAATTTTCAGATTGTGCTTTCATTTTAATAAGCCAAATGATACAGTTCACACATCAATGAAATGCTCTTCAGTGACATAAAAATTGCTGGCATAAAAGCACAGCTTATCATTGGAGAAACAGCCGTGTTAAATTGGGAACATAGTTTAGAGAGGTTTCTCTGAGCATCAGGATCAATTCAGAAGCCTGACTGAAAGCAACATTCTAAGCTCTCCCCCAGGTCCAGTGGATCAGATCCTGGGTCAGGGTAGGGGACTGCAAATCTGCATTTTAAACAGGCTCCCCAGCTGGTTCTTAAGTACTTTAAAGTTTGAGGACCAGGGTTCAGGTGTCTACATTGCCCACTCCCAGGAACGTCACGGGGACAGCTGTGATGTGTGGGCAGTGGGGTGGAGGGTGGGGAAGATGGGATGGGTGGCATGGTGGTTTTCAGTGTAGCCAGAGGCCGGGGAGCTGAGCCCTGCCCTCCTGGGTGGGCCTCTTGCCTTCCCGCCTCAATCAAGTACCACAGCTCTGCTTTTGTCTGTTGTATATACTGGGGTTCCCTCAGATGCACTTCATCAAAGTTTTTTATTGCTAAGATCAAGTCTGAAATCACTAATGCAGGGCACCAAAAATAGGATCTGGTGTCAGAAGACCTGAATGCCGGTGCATCTCTTGGCACCTGCCACCTGAGGGTCTTTGTGCTGGTAGATCAGCTTCAATATCATCATTTGTAACATGGTCACAATTCCGGGTCCACCCTACAGGACGATTGTGGAGAACAGATCAGAAAACACAAGGGATCTGAAACCAGGAGCGATTACTAAGATTTATTATTGTTATTATCATTAGGGACAGCATAGGGTTGAGCATAAGAGTTGACACATTTTAACTCTTCAAAGGATGGGACAGATGCATTTGTCAAACACATTTTGGCCCAACACAAGATCACACTTGAACATTCCAACTTAATAAAGGATCTTCAGAGGAGGGAGGGAGGAGGAAAGAGAGGCAGCAACTCACCGACACAAACGCTTGAGATTTGGTCTCGTTCAACTGGAGCTGCAATTTCTTTTCGTTGTCATAGACCCCATAGAGCCTCTTGGACCAGGTCAGAGGCACTCTGTTCTTGAATTTTAATGAGCTGTATAAAGCGAATATCCTCTGCAAGTCGAGGACCAGGCAGCTGCAGTTGTAGAAGATGACACCGAGTTCTTTCATCTGTGAAATTAAAGTTGAAAGCATCAATGCCAGGCCTGTTTGATGATGTTATTTTCAGAGGAAAAAAATGCCCAAGAACGCAGCAGTAGCACTTGTTAAACATAAGTATGCGGATACAGGCACACTGTGATATATGGAAATGATGCACTATAAAAATGCTTAAAGATTGCTTGCCTTTGGCTGTGGGCTCTTACAGATAATTGTTCCATATTCACTACACTTTTCACCTTAGCTCTTCAGATTCATTTCCTTACCACTAATTTTTTTGTACGAATCCTCAGATCAGGCAGCAGTAGAAAGGTGGATTGTTAATTGCCGCATAACAGAATGGTTAGGTCCTGGAATCTGGAGTCAGATTGCCTGGAATTAGGTTCCAGCTCCACAATTTTCTAGCTCTCTGACTTTGGGCGAGATACTTAGTCTCTGGGCCTTGTTTTCTTCTTCCATAAGACAGAGATAACAGTATTTATTTCACATAGTTGCTATGCTGCTTAAAATGATTAATACATGTAAGGGGCTTAGAACTTACCCTGTGCCTATCACATAATAATCACTAAAAATATATTAGCAATTATTATTCTTATTAACAGTGCACAAGCCATAGAGGAATAAACCAGTGGAATCTTGCAACAAAGAGAACACAGATTATGTTGTCCACCTCCCTCGATGCACAGATGAGGGAAGTAAAGCGCACACAGGTAAGCAAAAATACTTGCCCCAAGTTCCAGATCTAGGGAGCGGTAGATTAAGAGTTTGAATGCAGGTTTTCTGACCCTTCATCAAATACACCCAGGAGCACAGCAGCACTGGCTTCATCTGAGTCCAGTGTCACTTCGTAAACATTACAGATGGTTCTAATTTAGTCACTGAAAGTGACAAAGTGAAATGTCGGTCATAAAAGAATAGCACAAATAGACATGTTTCATTATCTGAACACCCAGTGAGGGGTTTGTGAGGGACACCTTGGCCCTTTAGGGACCTGGGGTCCACTGATATTAAACTCCCTTCCCAACCCTTCCTCCAACCCCCTACTCGAGACTCTACTCGGGGTTACGGGAGCGGTCACCCGCCATGTAGGGACGTGACCTCCCTTGCCTCCTGGGATGCCCCAATACACCGTGCCATGGAGCTCTTTTCATGCTCATCAGTACCCGTCCAGCCCCATCCCAGCTCCAATGCACACATGTTATTTACCCTGCTGATGGACTTGTTCCTATTTTTTCTTTAATGCAAAAAATAAAGCAATGAACATCCTTGCACATGTATCTTTGTGCACCTGTGCAAGTATTTCTTTAGCATAGATTCCTAGAATTGGATGGACAAATACATTAAGGACAATTAGAGGTTAAGAAAGTAGGAGGAGATAGTGTGGGGGGGTGGTATCAGGTAGGTGCAAAGGCACTGAAGCTGGTGGGGATATAATCAGAGCTGTGTGGCTGAAGCTGAGTGACATTAGGGAGAATGTGTATGTGTGTGTGAGTGTGTAAATATTTCTTTCTGATGCCCTGGGGTAATACTGGAGGGACAAGGATGTCAGATCATCACGGCCTTTTGAGCTGGGATAAGGAGTTTGACATTTATGCTGAAGGTCATGAGGCTGGTGGCAATGAGGGAGGAGGTGTGACCAGGCTGTGGACTGGAAAGGTCCCTGGCTGTGGTGTGGAGATGGACGACAGGATGAGGGAGCTGAGGCAGGGCATTCAGCCCCAGGCCTTGGCAGTAGCAAGAGGACACACTTCCAAGTTCTTACATGTTTTCTCATCCCATAGATTTGAAAGACTGTCCAGAGGGGCTGATAGCAGTTGCTAACCCCATTCTGGTCGAAGCCAGGGCCCACTGTGCTGTTTGCCGAGTCTCTGCTGACACGACCTCAGGAGTATTAAGCTCTGCATCTGACCTTCTCGCTTTTGTGCCTTTTCCCAGATTGAATCAGTGCTGCCACATTACCTTCTCCAAGGAAGCCTTCAGCATTTCAGGATGTCTCAACCTTTGTATCAGTTTAGCTTTCTAACTAGGCTCTTTGGCGGTGGGAGTGGAGGGGCAGAGGAGCTCAGACCAGTTCCCATGTAAGTAAGTAGCTATCCCACAGGACCAGGGTATCCTGGACATGTTTCTGTCTGCCAGAAACAGGCAAGGTTAGTGCACCTGCAGGGGGCTGGCCTTGCCCAGGGCCATCCTCAAGAAGAAACAAACAAAAAGGACCCTGAGGCTAAAGATGTGGATTGACGTCTAGGGTCTTTCACCAACCAGATATAGGGCCTTGGACAGCTCATCCAATTTCTGAGTCTTTGTCTTCTCTTCTGAACAGTGAGGGGGTCTGGCTCATAAAGCATACAGGGGTCTTCCAGCCTTGCCATCTACAGCTCAGGGCCATCGGTTTCCTGCCCACCTCACATCCCCTTCTGAGCACTGGTCAGACAGCTTCCATTTGTGCACCAGGACCAGCTCCTTTAAGCTTCTGCATGACTGTGGCTTTAAATTCAGACAAGAGAGGTTTGCATCTTGGTTCTGCAACTTGTTTGTTGAACAGCCTTGCATAAATTACTTAACTCTTACATTTCAGTTTATTGCTCAATGAGGATAATACCTATCTCCAAGGTTTGCTGTTAGAGTTTAACAATTATCAGAATTTCAAAAGCTAGTATTGATTGAGTGCTTACTTGGTGTGTGCACTGGGCTGAACAGTGTCCGCCGCTATTCACTCAACCTGGAACCTGTGACTGTGACCTCATTGGGAAATACAGTCTTTGCAGATGGAATCGAGATGAAGTCACACTGATGTAGCATGGCCCTACATCTAATATGACTGTTGTCCTTATAGGAAAAAGAAAATTTGGACAGAGACACAGATACGCAGAGGAGATCGCCACATGAAGAAAGAGATGGTGAGACGCATCAACAAGCCAAGAATACAAGGATTGCCCGCAACCGCCAGAAGCCAGGAGGTGAGGAAAGAGTCTCCCGCCAGGCTTCAGAGAGAGCACCGCTCTGCCCACACCCTGGTTTCCGACCTGTAGCCTCCGGAACTGTGAGACAATAGACTCCTGGCCTTTTAAGTCACCAAGGTTGTGGCAGTTTGTTATGGCAGCCCTAGGAAACCGAGACAGTGTGCCTGAACGACTCATCTTGACGGTGGGTCAGGGAGATACAAGGTTTACTTACTTCTCCCATTTTACATAGGAGGAAACAGAGGCTTGGAGAGTTATTTGCTCAGTGGTAAGTGACACAGCTGAGCTATGAACTTTGGTCTAACTCGGAAGCCTGTGTGCTTAATCATTATGCTATACTGCACTTAGCACGTGGCTGGTATACAATCCACGGTGTCTACTCTGATTAATTCTATGCAGCCTTTCTGGCCAACCCGTTTCCTGCTTTGTCTAGTACTGTACTTGGTGCATACTTCGCATGTAGCAGGTTCTTACACTGTATCATAATTTTTACAAAATTTATGACTGTTTCCGCTAAGTGACTCTGCAGTCTCTGAAGGCAGGGACTGTGTCAGGTTCATATTTTCACTTCCACTGTTGGGCTACAGTACTTGCTTAGAAAATGTTTATTGAATGAATGCCTGACCTTCAAGATGATTTAAAGGCAGTCAGAAATGAAAACAAGCTTCCTTCTCAACCCAAGAGCCCTAGTTCAAGGTCAGCCTGATGCCCTCTGATCTTAAGCACTTGAACCTAACAGGAATCTCTCTTCTGGTGCCGAGGGCCCTGGAACAGCAAACCTGGCGATGCTTGCATAAATCCATGTGGCCGTGTGGCTCCAGAGATCCACCCAGAAGACATTCACAAGCACAGAGTTCAGTGGTCAGTATCAACACAGGCCTTAGATTGGTCACTGAGCCAAGTGGCCTCCTGCACCTACCAACAACGGGTACAGAGCCCAACACGGGCTTGTCTTTTGAATGGGGACTGCCACAACAGCCAAGCCCGAGTAGAGCTAGAGATAGAATGCCATGAAAGTAGAAATCCAGGGACTCATTTGATTTTTGTGACCAAAAGGTGAACTTGGTGGCCACGATTTACTTTTACTATGTTTGGACCCTTGGGTCCTTTGCTTTTTCTACATCAGACTATCAGTATTTTCAGGTGACTTGCTCACACATGGCAAACAGGTACATATGGAAACCTCTGTTCACAGTCTAGATAAGAATACGATGCTTCCTTGTCCACCAGTTTCCTCAGGAATAGTTGTCCCTTAGCTTCACGCGGAGGTTACATCCTCTCAGCTGTGGTTGGGGCAGATCAAAGCCAACAGCAGTGGTTGGGGATCACAGCTGCTTCCCCCCACCATTCTCCACTGACTCTCCCCTGATACGTAGAACGATATTAAATGAAGCAGCCACATGATTGCAGGCTCCCCACACCTGTGAAGAAAGACAATCACTCTTCAATAAGCTATGACATGATTAATCTGGGTAATGATTCATGTGAAGTTTGACATCTGGTAGGAGGCCAGCATGGCAAACAACCCTGATGGCTTTTCTCTGAGAAGGAACGAGAGAGAGAGAGAGAGAGAGAGGTAGAGAGACAGAGAGACAGAGAGATAGAGCGAGAGAAATCTCTCAATACGACCTAATCAGGACAGAGCAAGTCATCTGCTCAAACAGGCTCTGAAGACAGACTAACTTAACTGTGGGTAAGGCATTGAAACTCTTCACTTCCTTCATCAGTAAAATGGGTATAAATCACAGGATTGCTATAAAGAATAAGTGAAAAAATGCATGTAAGCAATGCATGTAAAACATTTAGCCCAGTGCCTGCCTCAAATAGTGTTAGCTTTGGTGACACCAAGGTCCACCCTTCTTTTTCTGCCTTCTGAGGATGTTTCTACTACACCCTTGCTCTAAAGGGTTAAAGATTTGTTAGAATCGAGGAATAGATGTGGCAAAATTCTTTCTCCACCAGCAATTTTACTTTAACCACCAACGGATTCCAGATACTCAGTCACAAGTGTGAGGGCACCAAAATTCATTCTTCAGAGACTGTTTGTGGCTA